TTCGAATTTGAACTGGAGCACGCCGATTGCGGCAGAGCGCGGCATTGACAACTCCAGTTCAACCTCATCCAATATTCTTTGGTGTTTCTTCGTCGTTGCATGGTGATTTTTTGTTTCAATGATGTTTGTAATCAAAATCGACGAAATTGTTGCTGCTTAGCGATGGTTCGTGCTACTATGCTCGCTTCTTCGGTTTTTATTTCAGCTAAATTTGAAATCAGAATTCAAATAACGAGCATAGTAGCAGGAAACATCACTCAAGACTAACAAAGTCTACAATCCAGTTAAGAAGACTGCTAACATTCAAAAAATAGGATGAAACGTTCCGAAAACACAAAAACGTCTGTTTGAGATCAAAGTGAGGGCTGCAGGTACCGCGCTCTGCCGCATACGGCGTGCTCTAGGTACTTCAAATTCGAATTCGTCCACTAGGTGTCTAGTGGGGGGAGGACGACTATAACAAAGAAGCACGGTAAGTGGCGGGATAATCTTTGACTGCGCTCTGGGTTTCTGCCCCTCACGTCGTTATCGTTCACCGTCGCTGCCCTAAAAATAAGCAGCGACTTGTGTTCTGGCGTTTATACGAAACAGCGTCATAGCCACATATGGGAGCGCGCACCAATGTAGCCGTCGTCTTTCTTTTTGGTTTCGAATTTATGTTACAAGAGAGCAAATACGATTTGCTGTACTCGAGTTGTCAACCATTGGCGTAGTATGGCACTTACGCATAGTCAGGATTCAAGTTGGACGCGCGCAAAGTGCTGCTGGAAATATCTGAGAACAGAAAAAGGCAGATCTTGTACTTTCTTTTCGGAGCAGTTTGCAAGTGCGACATGAAAGCATACGATGCACCATTCCTAATTTTGTAGTGATTTGGTTGAAAAAGATGTGCGCGTTAACTTTCTAGGCTTCTTGGAAGTCGCTTTGAACCGATAGTAAGACGCACTGAGTGGCATATCATAAGTGCTAAAAATGCCAAGTTTCAAGGTCTAGATTTATCAAAAAGAAAGCTCTGTAAACTTTTGCGAAGTAGCCTATAACAGCCATCCTCCTTAAAACACGCGAAAAGCGACCGACGGTGGGAAAAGGCGCACGGGCGGCGTATGCGATCAGACAATCGCAAAATAGTTCCGGAAAAATTGAGGTTTTTAAATTTCCGAAAGGCACTCCTATTGGGGACGCCAGGTAGGGCAGGGCCAGGTAGGCCGGGGCTTACCCACACGACCCAGTAAGAGTGTTCGCCCGAAAGTTTTAGAAGTTCAGTTTTCCCCGGAAGTTTTTGCGATTGCCTGAGATGCTTATATACCAAGTCGCTTAGGAATGAGCTATAATAAGCATTTCAAATATATGCCATCCTGGTCAATAGGCAAATTTGGCTTTGACTATCGAAAACAAAAAACTTTCAAGTTTTGAGCAGTACATCTTCTAATATAAAGGAGTGCTAGCTAGTCTATAATGCGAGCTGCAAAGCCAGCCAGGTTTCAACGAAATGAAGCTCACTTGCATATGGTGAGTTGAGATAATTAAAATTTCAGATGAATCAGTTTGAGTTTTTGATCTTCCACTCAAAGTGACATCTCTCTCATTTCATGTAAGCATGAACAATATGTTCCGCTTGCTTGTAATATGGAATAATAATTGTAATATATATCAAACATGTGGTTGATGGGGATGAAAATAAGAAAATGGAGTTGGTTGCAAATATGAAATGAAATAGCTGGTGCTTTAGGGCTCCCAGGTTTTGCTGAAACGCAAAGCGTCAGAACGTTTTCTTCTTCGACACGGTTAGCAGGTGGATATTATGTACAATATCAACACTGATGGCTCTAGCACAAGTAGGATAGAAGTATGGACTTGTGGTCCGCTAAGTCAAAAATTCAGCGTTGATCTTATGACGTTAAAAAAGCACTTTCTTTACTTTCTTTTTGTATACGAAACATCCATTTGAAGGTGATCCTCCAGCTTCCGTTACACTTTGGTTCAAGATAAGTGCCACGCTTCTGATTCTGGCAATGTTGCTCCTTGACTCTAATAGCTGGAGAAAGGTCGAGTAGATTAATTCTGAGAAGAGGGATATTGCATGATTTCATGAGGCTCTTATAAGGTGGCGAAGCATCGGTAATTAAAGAGTGTACACAATTTGCAAATGTTTGTCTAGGTCACTTTCTGCGACTATCACTTTAAATAGAATATTATTTATCTTCGATGCACCTAAAAGTGCTCTGCTAATACTACTATCTAGGAGCGGTTAGAAAAACAACAATGCAACAGCAAACCATATCGTTAGTAACATAAACTGAAGCAAGAGAATTCACTACCAGGCATAAGATGAAGCTAGCTAGATGCGTAACAGATCATGCCAATAGAGGATAAGTAACTGCGATAGATGTCAAATTACACAACGTCGTCAACTTCACATAGCTGCAGAATATCTACTTTCTTTAGCAAGGCTTTCAGTTGTACTGCTGAGTTTACGGCTAAGAAAGACGGTGGCAACTTGTTCAATAAAGAAGCTGCTCGATAAAAGAAATTGTTGGACTGTAGCGAAATGTTGTACCTCCCAAACCTAGAAACAAACAGGTTAAGAGATGCCCTACGTTCGCTGATAGGTCGAAAAACCCAGTATTTACTGGGCCTCAAACCTACCTCGGCTCGCAGTACTTTAAAAGCCATAAGAATGTCAGCCAAAAACCTCCTGTAGAAAAGCGTTCTGAGACCCAATTTACAAATCCTGGTTTTATAATTCGGCAAGGTGGATGGATATTCTGGATTGGGGAAGGCACGATAAAATACAATCTTTATGAATGTTCTTTGGATTTTCTCGATCTTATCAATGTCTTTTTTTAATGTAGGATTCCATACAAAGCTGCAATATTCTACCACTGGCAGAACAAACGTTTTATAGACTCTCACTAAAAGTTCGGGGTCACAGGACTGAAAAGTGCGCATTAAGGCATACAGTGTTCGAGTACCTCGAGATGAGATTTCATCTATGTGACTTGAATATTTCAACTTAGAATCCGTATAAACACCAAGATCTTTGATCAAAAATTTGCATTCAAGTTCAAAGTTATCTCTAGGATGAAACGGCGTTCTGCCAATGGGAACTGTGCAGCTCTTGGCGTAATTTACCTTGATATTCCATCTACTAGCCCAAAGCATCATTCGAGAGATTGCATTGCGGAGTGCTACATTAGCTCTATCCTTATCACGCTGGTCATAAGCGATATAAATTTTAATATCATCAGCATACGCAGCTACTCTAATTCCCGGGTCTATGGTGAGAAAGCTAGGTAGGTCGACAGTGTATATGACAAATAGAATTGGCGACAAGATACTGCCTTGCGGAACCCCTGATCTTTATAATCTTGCCGTAGAGATTTTATCGAGGATTCGAACAGAAAAAGTCCTGTCTTGAAGATAGGATTCGAACCACCTGAGCTGTAAGCCTCTAACTCCCAAACTCTCCAACTTGGCCAAAAGTAGGTTGTGATCTACTGTATCAAATGCTTTACTTAAGTCAAAATAGACTACATCTATTGATCGGTTTAAGCTTAATGCTTCTGTCCAATCGAATTGGACATCAAGAAGCTGTGTACCGGTAGATCGGCCTTGCAAAAATCCATGCTGCTGCTCTGGGAGACATTGCATTTTGTCTAACCATTTCAGCAAATTTTTTGCAATGATCTTTTCAAGTAGTTTGCACGGTGTAGGAAAAATGCTTATTGGTCTACAATCAGAAAGTTTGGGGTTAGAGGTCTTAGGCAGAGGGGTGACCACAGCGGCTTTCCAAAGATGAGGAACTTCTGCCATCATCAGGGAAACATTGAAAATGTGAGCTAAGGGGAAGGCCAATTCATTGGCGAACATCTTGTAAAAGATGGCTGGAACATCATCGGATGTTAGCGATACCGCTGGACTTACTTTCTTCAAAAGTTTTCTTATCATGCGAGGATCAATTTCTACTGGGGGACAAGACTCAAAAGATCTGCTTTCTAGTAATGGACATGTGGCAACAGGATCTGAGAAAACTCGTGAGAATTGATCTGCAAGAGCTTCAGCTTTAGAGGTGGAGGTATGGTAGATGTAACCATCACTGTCCTGCAAAGGACCAGTAAATCTGCTTCCTTTCAAGTGTTTATTGAGATACATCCAAAAGTTACATAGTATTATAGCCGAGCTTGTTCAGTTCCAGAACAATGAGTTTTAGGAGTTTACCCAAAACGTATTGGACTTTCACTCTCCTTGCCAAAGCTCTGTTTTTTTTGAAATTGTCAATATTTGAACCTTGTGTTTTATTTCTATTTCTCCTTTTTTTGTTTTTTCTTTACTTGCGTTCAATTGATTTTGAGAGAACTCTCTTTAGCGCTGTATTAAAGTATTTTAGAAAAAAACTTTAGTGCATGCCGCACAGAAGAAATTAGTTGGAAAGATTCTAAAGTGTTTCAGTCTTTCTGGTTGGATATCAAGTTATCATACTACTCTCCTGAGCCTCAACAAACGCTCTCAACTCTGCCAGAACATAAATATAGAGCTCTCTTAAGATATATAGCCCTCTTGATGCTTGCGATGCCGAACTAGCTTCACATTACATTTGTAGCGCAAAACAGCCGTTGATCCGGTTTATTGATGTCGAATCATGTTAAAATTCCTTGAAATTGTGTTCTGCTACTAATGGTAAGAAGAAAAAGTTTTGAAGGCCAGTGCACGATATTGAAAACTACAAGTATATATTGTTGTTTGTGCAATAGTTAAATAACAAATTAGGTTGTCTATATTACTTTGTTCAAGCTCTAGCTAACTACAGGCTGAATGACTTTTGGAATACCTTGTGTAATGTTGCAATTATCGCATAAGAAGGCCATGCACAAAAGAGGTTTCGGAAACGGCTAGCGCTTTTCAACTATGTTTAGCAATTCTGTTATAGAATCGTCTCCATTCCCATTGTTGTTGATGACCAAATGTTTAGTTGCAGCTTAATAACACTTGTTTTTTTTCAGATGATCAGAATATCAGAAACGCTGCTTGTGGTATTCTTTATGCTTTTTGTTCCGCTTTCACAAAGCGATCAACTTTTGCTCGTCCAAACGGTGAGGCTTGCTCGTTGCTCACCACATTTCGAACTACGTTTTCGAAAAGCGACAAACTGAAGAAGTGAAACACAAGCAATATGTGTATTTCTAGGTATTTCGGCACGGTGACCGTGCTCCCATGGGAGGGAGCACCTCTCCAGAATCCGAGGCCTACTACTTTAGAGGGAAAGCGCACCTCACTAATGTATGTCATTTTGTATTACCATTCTCTGTACTAGTAAGCGGCGTCCATGAATCTCATGACGTCGATACAAACAACATGTCTCTTTATCACATGTCAGCTTTTTAAAGCATCAGCTGCTTTTCTTGACCCTCTTTCATCGTTGGAAAGTTTTGCATGGGCTGACAAATTTCGCAGATGTTAGCTCTCCTTTCCTAGGCATTTTAGGCAATGGGAAAAAACAAATTTTATGAAGGAGGAACCTTTGTTTACTATTCGTAATTTCAAACATGGTGTCTCCTTCACCTGCTTGCGAAATAGTTCGAAGACATTTTGATGGAAAGTAGTGATGAAAATGGCTGACTTTGCTGAGCAATAACAAATGATGCAAGTGATAAATATTGATTAAATTGCTTTGAGCTGAATTCTGAAACTCTCTTTATTTGAACTATCCACCCGCTTTGTTCATTTGATGCGGGTCACAACATTTAGAAAATCTATTGTTTATATTACAGAAAGGATTAGACCAAGCACGAGAGCTGGGAGTCAGTTTAAAGCATCGATATGCTGATAAAGGTTTTATTGATGTCCGTTACATCCCCTCCGAAGTGAGCGAGCATCATAGTTAGCAGCAGTGTTTTCATAGAATGCAGTTTTAGGTGACCTTCTTTAGTAGCGCTTCCGAAAGGACTTTAATGACAGCTTCAGCGGTCTCGTCAGCTATCTTCAACCATACAGCCAGTGATCAAGTGGTTGCAGCTCCTATTTTCACAAAACCTATGAATGAAGATTACGTGCGTTTACAATACATTTACCAATAGTAACCATGCCACTTTTGAAGGTTTGCGCTCCACAACTTCAGTGCCCATTGGTATTGGGACAGATGGCTCAGTTACTTGGTGTTGAGGGCACATCGTTTGAAATGGTTCGCAGTCACACTTTCGATGAATTTTTTTATTGTTCACAACTCAGGAAGACTTGATAAAAGTGCTTTGCAAAAACGAATCGGAGCGCCTAAACTATACACAAGTAACCGGAGAAAAACTGCAAACTTTTGAATCCATATATTTTGAGGTAATATGCATACATGGCTTCATCGCCTTCTATGAGCAGATTCGAGATCATTTTTTGTTGCAGCACGAATCAGGGCTTGCTGTGCCACAGTGGTTCGATGACGATGCAAGGAAAGAGGCTGATTATTTGCTGGATTTGGTAATGCTTAGCATTTTGTGTAAAAAAAATCCTGTTTTTTCTCATTTTTCTCTAACAACAACTTCTAATTCTGATGAAAAGACACGGAATGTAAAAACAGCAGTTAGCCACTTTTATCTAGAAAATTTTTGAACAGCAGCTCATCGAAAGATTTGAATATTCAGACTATCCAGTTCATGGCTGGTGTAGGCAAGTACCACAATCCAACTTGGATTCAAACCCGATCAGGTAAAATGCTATCGTTGCTAATGAAGAATATGGAAGAGACACTTGATGGGAACTCAACAAAAAAGTTTATTGCTTACTCAACGGTGAGTGGTTATGAGCCTCCTCAAACTGGTTCATTGTGCTTGTTTAGCACGATGTCATTATCGCGTCGTTGCTCGACTCATTGGGTATATTGAAACGAGCTCTGGCTCCCATGGGACGACCTGCCTTTACAGCAGCGGTCATCTTTGAGCTGTGGAAAACGAAGACGAGCGACCCATACATGAAGGTGTGTTTTTGTGGCAAAGGAGCCCTCTTTTGACTGCAAATGGGTAGATTGGGATACTGGCTATTTCTACACAAGTGTAAAACTGACAACTATTACCGAATTGTGACGATATGTGCGACAATTTCGCAATCATCGTCAAGTAAACAGTTTCTTGGAGATAAAAAGCAGAGAGACTTGCTTCAGGTGCTGTTTCGCCGTGGATCAGGTTTTGATAACTACACCGACTTTACAAGTAGAGTCCGTGGATGCAACAAAACGATGCATTGCCCCTTAGATACCTTTATGGAGGCCATGGAGGAGTACAAAAATGACGATCCTGAGCAGTTGTGTTTGGTGGGTAGAGGTGTATCCCTTTGTTTTCAAGTCCCTCAAAATCGTTCAGTTGCAGAGTACGGAAACCAAATGGGTTCCTCCAGCTAAAAAGGATATTCAGCGTAAGAACGCTGGTGTCACCGTCTATTTCACGATAATATATCCGATTTTTCAGTAATTGCCATACTCATGGTCGCCATTGTCGTTCTCGTGGTACTGTTTCTCGCTGCACTGCTCCTCTTGCTGCCCTGTCGTAATCCTAACAAAACGAAATTGCAAATTAACCGATCAAGCAACAATCTCGAAAACAACCGACGAACTTCAAGAACGTGAAATCATTGTTGTCATCTATAAGTACAAAATGAGATACTCAAGGAGATTACCACGTTTTTGGTGGTAGTGAGATTGCCGTCGAATCTCAAATCAAAGCAAGAACAGCACTGTTTCTCGGATATGAGGAATCGCTGGGATTTTGTCTCGGAATAGAGAACTGAAAACTCAAACATAATTCTAAACTAGTTGTGTCATAATAATTTCTTAGGGACGCTGTTCGTACTACGATGATCTGAGCTTTTTGCTATCACACAAATAAGTCAGGATTCGACGGCAAATGTATCTGTTACGAGTTTACGATGCTACTCTGTTAGCCTCTTTATTTCCAACTCACCTCACAACAGTTGCCGTAAGTTGACGGGTTTCTAGACAAGATCAGCTTTCTCAAGATGCCTTGTTTGTTAAAGACATTGTACTACGAATGTACTCGTAGATGTCACTAAAGTCTGCTATTCTCAGTCTTTTTATTTTGCAGTGATATAAACCTTAATCATTTTATGCCTACTATCGGGTTCAAAAACCTGGCATAAAATTTGTATTTGTGAATATTCTATGTCATGCAAATGCAGGATCAGCCAACTTCTTGAGCCTTTCATTAATGTCACAAACTTGTGAATTTGACTGATCCTCTAAGTGTATTGATGAACATTTGATCAAGCTAAGCATAGAAAGGAACTGCTTGAAGAAGTTCAGAATGGTTTTGCTGTCAAAGAATTTTTGCTCAATAGGATTTTTTCCGCAAGTCGATCACGCTCATCAAATAAAGTACATGAACATAGTTCCCATTCGATTTGGCTGAATGTTGGCTTATCTTGCACCTCTAATCCACATATATTCGACAATTTTCATGTTGAAAAAAATCCATTTTGGTACTGTGTACTACTGCATTTATCATTCTTGCGAATGAATAAAGATGTACCGTACATATTCTTGCTTTCAAAATTGATTGCAATGTTGGATGTAAATCCAGGTAGATAGTAAGCGTTAGGGGTTTTCCGTTTCCTTTTTGCAAACTGGTAGGTCAAAAATATAACAGAAAAATATTTGAAACACTTGATGATGCAGCGTTTCGCATTTCTGAAGTTTAATCTCAAAGCATGGTATCAAGCGGTGGATCACTGCAAAATTCACAATCACGATTTTTGATGCTGTACAACTTTTTCATTTTGTCTTGTATTTTTCAAAAATGTTAATCAAGATATAGAGGATGAGAGCCTGCGTCCGATTACAATTTGAAAAGCATTCGATCTTTTTGTTGATTTTCATAGGTGAGTTACATTGAAGTAGAAAAAATTTTTACAGCATTGAAAAAACACAAACTTTAACTCCAATTTCCTTTGGACTGCGGAAGTGTCATTGACTTCATCTTTGCATTATCCTAAGAAAGCGCCAGTTTGAAAGCTAGTCGGAAGTTTTAGTCACAAAACCTTCCTCTACATATATCGTATCTTCCAAATATTTTGGAGAGACACGCATGAGGCGCTCAAATATCTTGCGTTTTAATCCATACAGCAAAGGACGATTTGATCCAATTATTTGTTCTGTGTTGCCTTCTTTTCTGTATAATTTGTTGCTCCGGCGCACTCTTGTGTATTGCGTGAATAAATAGATAAATAGAACTCACTTTCATTATTTTAGGACATGCGGTGACTCGACACGGGTAAGAAAGTAGGCTAATCGTAAAGAGGAGAGGTGCTCAGAGGGAAAAAAGCACAGCCTTGAATATGAAGAGGGCGGACGGGAGCACAGCGAAGATAGTTCTCAAAACATACAAAGAGAATTTCTGTTCTTACAGTATATATACTTTATGTCTCAGCCAAAGGTCATATGGCCGGGCTGAACATTGACCAACCCAGCATCCAATAGATAGGAAACTCATCAACTCTTTGTTTGCGACTGCCCGCTTGCAAGGCACGAAGCTGTTTTTGGTCAGGCTCTTGAGCGATCACAAGCCTAAGGCCTAAGGCATACCTCGAGCGATTCCAGTCGCGATTTGGCACAACAGCGACTCTTCGTAATTCGTCGCTAATGCGCTGCTTTAGCCAGAACTTGCTCTATTTGCAACAACTTACACAAGCTACCCAAATATGCGTCCGAGGAGTGCACATGATAAATTTATAGGAATCTGGCAAATCGCCAAGTCGCGTGAAAGTGGCGATTCGGCCAAATTGTGTGAGGTATTCCTTAACCTAAAGGAAAGATCAGGTGCCGCAGCAACACAGCTCATTCAATACCAAGCACGCTTGCTGCGCAATAATTAATTCTTCGATTTGCTTCTTTGTCCTTCTTCTTCGTTACCATTGTATCGCCCTTGTGTGGAAATTTAGTGAACCCATCAGAAATCCGGTATTGTTTTGTCAAAAGATTAATTTAGGCGACATCTATTATCAAATAAACGGTTTTCGAGGCCAAGTTCATAATACTTAAAGCGTTTACTGTAACCGACTTTTGCATGCAAGATGATTACAGCCATTGAAGGCAAACTTATCAGTGATCTTCAATGCCTTGTAATTTTGTGTGGAAAGTATTGATTCATTAGCTGGTACCCTGTCTTGCCCTGCTATTGTGTGACGTAAAGCTTTCCTTGTTGGGATTGCTAAGGATAGAAAGAAGTGAAAAGAAACAAGATTCGCTTTAAGGTGTGTCTCAATGTGCTAACTTCTTCTCTTCTGTTGTCACTCTTAATCTTGACTCGAAATTAATTCTTCCAATGTATGCTCTCTTATTGGGTGGTATTGTTATGACTGTGCAGAAAAGCTGGAGATCTTTCGTGTTCACTTCTTTTAGCAAGACCGTTAGGTTACCAATATGCGTGAGCATACAGTGTAAATAAATTTTTTTTGTTATTTATCATCATTCGCAATGTTCAAAATCATCTTCTTTTGTGCCACTCCGCTCTCGGGCCTTCTCTACAACCCAACGCACATTGCTTTGTCTCTCAATTCATAGAGGGTCTAGCGATAGCTGCTCATTTTCTACAGATATCTTCTTCAGTGACACTTGCCATTTAAAAGTGAAGTGTACCCTAAATTTTCCATTCTACGCCTTTTAAACATTCCTGCATCTGCTCAATCTGTAACAAAGAACATGGCTGCTTCGAAACACCTCTTATGTCTTCTATGTGAGTCTCAGAAATGACTTTCGTTCTTGTTATATTGATCAGCCATGAAGACGCATGTATATGTAGTGTAGAGTGAGGGCTTTTCACACTCAAGTAAACGGACCATAGTACATAAAAACGTCACGATATATTAGGTTGTCCCGAAAGTTTTGTGTGGAGATCAGGAGTAGCAACCTACGGAAGGGCCGCCAAGCGACCGTTTCGGCGCTCATTTTGAGGATAAATAGTGCTGGCTGAGGAATTCTCCAATCTCCGGATAGTTTTTGTTGTTTTTTTACCTCAATCCTCAATTACCTTCACCTCATTGCTTTTTGTCTCTTTTTGTCAATGTTATTTTGTCCGTTACAATAAACTGTTTAGTAAATTGGTGTACTTGCTGCGTGCAAGAGGCTTGGGAGCCATTCTATCTATCGTACCGAGCCCAAAAGGGTTTACATTTGTCCATTATTTTCTCGCTCACTAAAACTCACTGAACACCAATTCATGGACGACTTAAGCACCATTTGACTCAGATTTTTATCCTCTTTCTTACTAGTTTATTTCCTCTGTGATTTACCTTGTCCATGCCATGTTATCGCCATGGCTTTTTGAGCAGTTCAGCAGTAACGTCAAATCTTTCCTGAATTTTAAAATATTTTAGCCGATGTTTTCAAAGAGCGCTGATCGTTATGTAGAGCAAGCCTTTGACTACATTGCATCCATTTTAGATTACATGGTCCACGTTTACCAAGTCCGTTATCCTACTATAGTATCTTCTGGAATCTGCCAAGACGATACGACGGGGGTACTCTCCTCTCCAATATGCTTTACTGTTGTGCTATGTGTTCTCTTACAGTGTTAAGAAGAGATTCACGATAACGAGGGCAAGCCAGATTATACGTCATACGAAATATAAATGCGATACATGAACTAACAGGGATGTGCAGAGAAGCGCCCCGCCTCGCCGAGAGAACAAGGATGTGAGCATGCACTCAAGGATCCATATGGCTTGCATAACAGCGACGGAAACTGTTAACGGTGTTCGCAGTCAGTTTCCAGACTGTATGCACTTTGAGTGCAGGGCTGGAAAGTGCAAGTATAGGAAATTTCGGCAACAATCGTCAAAGATTACCTCCTCACTGACAAACAAGCACAAGCAAAGAAGGGGCAGGTATTTGTCATGTATGAAGTAACAAAGAAACATTGACAGACCATCAAATTAGTGCAAGTGTTTGGCCTTCAGTTTCTGTCATGAATTAAAAAAACTGCCGCCCTATTTCGCTTTACCCAGCCTAATGCTTCTTACAATTAGAATTAGTTTTCGAGGGGAACCTTATGATTTTGAAGCATTATGAAGGTTAGGAAAATAGGAAAATATAATTCATCAATTTACGGGAATTGCTGAAACCTCACTTTTGGGTGCTTTTACTTTGTGAAAATATTGCTTTTGCCTCTGAAAACAAAAAAAAGAGGGACCTACGTCTTGTTGAAAAAAAAATCAGTCAATGCATGCGGCAGTACAATTTGCTGAACTCCTAGGAACATCTCGCTGATCTAAGATTCAATGCTGAATTTCATAAAAACCTCTGAAAACTTATTTGTGTTCTTCTACGTTGAATATTGTTTTTGCCTTTAAGATCAAATGAGCAGAGGGAACTCGATCTGCTGGAAGGAACGACTCAACAACTTCACGTATTTTTACCAATTGACATGACGGATAGTGCATGATCGCGAAGATCGATGTTTTTGCGGCCGTTGCACAGCTCCTGAGAGTCAGCCTAAATTTCGAGTTGAATCAGCTGTTCTACAAAAATGTTTAGGTGATTACCATGTTTAGGCTGTGGTATCTGGGGGCAGGGTATTTACAAGAAGAACAGCGTAAATGATTTGGGACCT